TTGAGAGATAGCTGTCCATACACAGATAAGGGATGTATGGATTCTCGACAAGGAACTGTTGCAAGACAAATAGTTTTCACATGGCAACAACCAAATATACAAGGGGAAAAGAAGATAGTGGAGATATTATACACAACAAGATGGGGTCATTCATCCAAAATAAACAACTTGGGCTGCTATAGGAGGTGATCTATGATGATAGCAACAGTGAATATAGCAGATGATGGCCGGTGGAGGATTCTTTGGTACATTGTATATAAGTGGTTCTTATCAGATGTACAAAACCATCTCAAACCAAGGTCTGAGCTGAAATGAATAGTTTCATAGGATGCAGAAGATTTAGTATAATCAGTAATATTTTATTGTAAGAGAAAGGAGGAGGATCCTTTAGTTTCTCTTTTGCAATTTTCTATTTTCTTTGTTATGTTTTCTTTTTTTGTTTTACTTCTAAGTGGACGAAGTTTGGATATTGATCAGTAAAGTGAATCAGTGAAGAAATCTCCTCTGCATATGATTTCCTATATCAAGTCTAAGTGCATAACTTTCTCCTAAATTCCTCCTCTTATGCCTTCCATTTTCTCCTTACCGTTCTCAAAGCTACCGAGTCATCAAAAGTCCCCATTAAAGCACAGGGTCGAGACCTCAACCTATCATAAGCATTGTTGCATCTTTCTTCTACCGCAATATGGTCTTCCACCTATTTGTTGACCTAATGAGATTCTCGTTGATCGAGGATCTGACAAGGATTAATGTGCGAAATCTTGTCCCCAAAGGAGAGTGGTTGTAAAGGAACAATTCTACCATGGCATCGAGCATCAACTACTTAAAATGACAAGGAATTTCAATTCTGAACAATGTATCGCTTCCAATGAATTCAACCTCAACAAGCCACCAATCTAAGAAGGTGTTCGATGGGATAGATTAACTCACCGTGACCTCGATGGGAACCCGGGTGTCGACGCGGTGCTGATAATAGAGATCGATGCAGTCGATGCCGAGCCTCTGCAAGCTGCTCTCGCAGGCGGCCCTGACGTATGCCGGATCTCCACGAATCTCCCTCTTCCCGTCCTGGAAGCTGATCCCGAACTTTGTGGCCAGCTCCACCTTCTCCCTCACCCCACCTTGCAGTGCCTACACCAGAAATCAATGCTCGATCCATCGGTCAACGCACAATTATTAACGATGAGGAGGAGTACTTTGCCGAGGAGGATCTCGTTGGTGAAGGGGCCGTAGATGTCGGAGGTGTCGAAGAAGGTGACACCGGAGCGGATAGCGTAGTGGATGAGGGCGATCATGTCGGTGTCCGGCTTGGGCGGCCCGTAGAAGGCCGACATGCCCATGCAGCCGAGGCCCTGCCTGGAGACCTCCAGGCCCTGTGAGCCCAGCTTCATCCGCCCCACTATCACGCCCCCGTCGTTGCCGCTTCCCGCCTCTCTGGCCATCTTCCACCTCTCCGGTCTCTCTCTCTCCCTCTACTACCCCTTCCACCACATCCAACTCTGCTCCCTGATATTGAGGAAACAGCAACGTGGGGTTTTACTGGTCATCGCGATTCCACCACCGAAAATTCAATGGGGGCGGCTCGCCGAAAGCTACGGCCGTCATTAACGCCATCGCTTGCGTCAGCTTTAGTCCTTTTGTGTCAATACAAATATTCAATAATGATGTGTGCAATCAATATTTAAAAAAATATATTATGAGAATAGTGAATTATCTGAAAAATGTGACCCTCAATCATTTTTACGAAATTCTTAATTAGTATTTCCTTTTCCAAAAATTCTCCTACAGTGTTTCAATTTTTTAAAATTACAAAAGTGACCCTCAATCATTTTTTATTTTTTTCTTTGAAAAGCTGTCTCTCTCTCTCTCTTTAATTAAATCAAATCATTTAATTAAACCAGTTAAATGAATCCAAAAAATGAATCGATTTAAAATAAATAATAATTTATTAGTAAGTTCCCCAGAAAAGCCCTGATATTTTAAAATGATAAAAATAACCCCAACCACTTTTTATCTCTTCGTCTTAAAAATTATTATCTTCTTCCTTCCCTCTTTCATATTAATCAAATCACTCAATTGACCCGGTTGAAGTAACTCAAAACTTGAATCGATTTAAAATAAATCATATTAAATAATATATTAATATATCAATTTATATTAATAAAAATAATAACATTATAAATTTTTAAAATTATATATATTAAAATATACTAAAATATAAATAATAAATTTAAAAAAATACCTATAAAGTAAAAAATATATAACAATAGTATATATATATATATTTGAAATAATAATATAATATATAAATTTTAGATAGCAAAAAATTATTTAAAATAAGTTTGAGAGGTTTATACGACCATTATTTTTTATTTTAGTCTTTTAAAATAGTTTTTAACTAATTTTGACCCTTAAAATTTAAATAAATTTATCCAGAAAATATGAAAAAAAAAATTGACACAGTGTGATGCTTCCATGAAATATTTTTTAAGAGCTTCAAAATAAATAGGCTCGATACCTATTCTAAATATTTGGTCTAGAAATACCAAGATGTTGACCCAATTACACTATTTTTTGAGGTAACTAACAATAATATAATTGGATCAAATCCTAATCAAAAATATGTTGGAACCTTATTGAAACTTTTGAATTATAGTCAGCTGGACATAAATCCAACTTTTCTATTTTAGGAATTTTATTTCATTTTTTTTATTTTTCCAGTATCTAAACACTAAATATTATATAAATTTTATATTTTCTTTTAATTTTGACAAAATATAATACTTCCTTTAAATGTTTTTTAACATGTGAGCTTGTAAATCGGTTTGATAAATATTCTAAAATTTTGGTCAAAAATACTAAGGCCTTGACCCGCTTACATTATTTTTGGTGCAAACACAAAAACAGTGTAATTAGGTTAAGTCCTGGTCAAAACAAGATGACATTTTCAAAAAACTTTTGAATTGCACCTATATAGATATAGATCCCATGTATTTAATAGTTTTCTATTTTTTAGTGTCTAAGCACACTAATTTTTTTTTATTTTTTAAAATTTCTTATAATTTTGACAAAATATGATACTTCCATGGAATGTTGTTTAGTATTTGAGCTTATAAATATGCAAGAAACCTATTTAAAAAGTTCAGTAAAAAAAAAAACAAAGGCCTTGACACACTTAGATGTTTTTGTGGACCAACTCCAAAATAGTGTAAAGAGGTTAAATCCTAGTCAAAACAAGGAGGGATCGAATTGCACTCAGATGGACATAAATATCACCTTTTCTATTTTTAATTTTTTTTATATGTTTTTAAATTTTTTAGCATTTGAACAGACTAGAATTTTAATAAATTTCTTCAATCTCTTATAATTTTGATAAAATATAATGCTTCCATGAAATATTGTTTCAGCTTATAAATAGGTAAAAAAATTTATTGTAAAAATTTGGTTTATAAAACTCGTGGTCTTGACCCACTTATACGGCTATAACTAGGGCAAATCTTGGTCAAAACAAGGTGAGGATTTTAGGAAACCTTTGAATTGACTCAAATGGACATAAATCATTTTTCTATTTTAGGATTTTTTTTCAAAATTTTATTTTTCAGGATTTGAACACAATATTTTTTTTTGTTTTTAAATTTCTTATAAATTTGATGAAAATATGAAACTTCCGTATAATATTGTTTAACATTTGAGCTTATAAATAGATAATAAACCTATTCTGAAAATTTGGTTCAAATAACCAAGGCCTTGACCCAATTATATTATTTTTGGTTGAACCCAAAAAAAATATAATTAAGTCAAATGCTAATGAAAAAAAGGGTGAAGTTTTCAAGAAATCTTTGAATTGCACTTAGATAGACATACTGATTTGCATATCCTAGCCCGTAGATGAAGGAGATCTTGTGTTCTCTTCTCTACCAATGGTCCACATGGCGGATAAAGTGGCTACACACCTTCTCTCGGAGATGTGTTCCTTCCTCACTTTCCACTATCTTCTCTCTTAAACTTCATCAACACTTAGAGTTTTGAGAGAAGTTCTCACAAGATTACAATAGCATTTTTCTTTCTTTTGTTAGGAACGAGTCGACATTAAGAGGGGGGAGGGGTGAATTAGTGCAACGGTAAAAATGTCGATTTCGAAAAATATTCGTTCGTTGAAAATCGATCGGAAAGATGTTAACTTAAGAAACACTTTCGTAAGCATGTAATGAGAAAGTAGAGCAGTGAGCAAGTAAAATGATTTGCAGCAAAGGTAAATAGTAAAGTAAAAGGCAGCAAACAAATTTTATAGTGGATCGATCATCGTGACCTACATCCACTTCCGATTCCTCTTCTATCGAGGCCAACGGTATCCACTAATGGTCTTTCTTCAATAGGCGAAGACCAACCATCTTCTTATACCCCCTTCTCCTTTTCACAGGTTTAGGAAACAACCTTTTACAAGCACTCACTCCTCTCTATACAGAATTCTAAACTTAGAATTAGAGGAGGAGATCTCTCAAGTGATTACTACAGTGTTTTCTCACTTTTAAATTCTCTGTGCTTGTATTTTCAACTAGGGATGAAAGGGATATTTATAGGCCTTAAGTGGATTCAAACTTAGATCCTAAAAATATCTCATCCCCGATTTTTAAGGCACTGGCGGTACCACCGCCTACAGCACTGACATTGGGCGATACCACCTATTGGGAAATCTTGGGAGCGACATCACATGCACAGCGGAAGAACATAAAACAAAATTCCTAATTCCCAAAGATATGTTCATCGTCATGTGAAAATTGATGCGCAAAAATCCGTGAAACTTAAAACTACGTATAGAATAGATTGTGTTACCTAGAGAGATCGTATATCCATGAATCCCTGCAGATCTCTAGAAGAGGGTGAAAGAGGTCAAGTGCCCTCCTCTTAAGCGATGATCTATACAACAGGGCGCGATGATCTACACAACAGGGCTGCGGCGATGCTCCTCAAAACTCTAGGCCTGCTCTGTGGTGGAGAGGGGGAGGAGAATATAAGAGGCAAGCAAAGACTCTAGCCTATGAACCACTGAATCCCTCCTATTTATAGAGATCCCTTGTCAACTTAACCCTAATGGATCATCCCCTATTGGGTATTGGATCTTCATCTAACTACCCAAGCCTCTTAGATTAGCGGATCTCTATCCAATAATCTCTCATGGGCTTTTATTGGATCTCATCCATGGGATCCAATAATTCAAAGGTTTATTGGATATCCAATAAGATAAGGGCTCCAATAGATATCTCATATTCAAACCTTTACTCATCATAATGCCTACTATATGTGTGTGACCCTTTGAGCCTAATATTGAGCTGGTCGTGAGTCATACCTGTCAGAACTCATTCAGGCTCAGTGAATTATTATATCCATAATAATTCACTCGATCGGACGTACTATGTCACTACGCCGTAGTCCCCAGACGATACAGGGAAATCTAATCCATTGGACCTGTCTATCCTCAGTTACTATATACCTATGTCCCTCATCCATCTAATATCCCAAAGATCATATACCAGGCATGGTGTTGTCAGACTCATACGGTTTCTACTCGAGTCTTGCTATAATCGGATTCTCCCGGAGAACTTTTTCTCTTTCAATCCGAATGACGCTAGTTAGGGATTTGTCTAAACAAGAACATATGAGACATTCCTCTCATGATATCAAGAGTGGATGATCCTCTGTCAACACTCAATAGCCCTCGTAAGATTGACTACTACTCCCGAAGATCGACTATGCTAGATTTGGGGCATTCAAACCTATAAGTCTGATATCAAAGAGTGGAGCACCCATACAGGACATCCTTGGTGTCTCAAGTCTAAGAACCAAATATACTACTGGGACTACAGAATCATTGTTTAATAATAAGACATCATCAACCATCCAACATTCCATAAACGGATCAATCAGTGAACTTATTCTTCAATGAGCATATGTATTGTATCCCTAGTGTCTCCACACGAGCAGCTATGATACCAACTGCATCTATCATATGGACGGGTATATAGCATACCAGTATGTCCGGTTATCTCGATGTCCCTCTTGAGTAACCTATGACCGGGATTATTTAAGATCTGTGTTTAAAGGCGGATCGATCTCATTATCATGATATCATCATGATCAAATTCTGATTACACACACACACACACATATATATACAATAGTCAATATAAAGTAATAAAATGTCAAAATATAATAAGCAAAAGGACTACATGTTAAGTCACACGTGTCATCACTCACGTGATTAGCTTGTAGGGTACATATGACTAGCAATCTCTCACTTGACCTAAAGTCAATCGCCTATATATCTGATTCCCATCAGACCCTTGTGATGCTCAAAGACTATTTGAGACAACGACTTTATTAGTGAATCTGCTATGTAATCTTCGGATAGAACTATTTTCACTCCTATATCTCCTCGAGTCACGATCTCTCTGATTAGGAGGCACCTCCTCAGAACACTTCTACTGAGACCTGGGTTCCTTCACTTGAGCAATCACCCCGTTGATGTAGCAATATAAGAAAATCGGCTCCTCACTATCCA